AATGACCCTGATGGTACATTCCTTCAAATATCTCTGCACAGGCGCCCTTGATATTTCCAGGATCGTATATCAATCGAAATGTCCCTTAGGGACGTCCTCCGAATGTCCGTCGGATGTGCCAATTGGTACAAAAACTGTACTCTTCCAATGTCCTAGAAATAACGTCCTATGGACGTCCTAGTCGGTACTTTCAATATGTTGTCCCTGCGAGGACGTTAACTTACACCTCACCGACGAATGATTGCTCGTAGGCTATAAGTACTTCTCGTCAATGTCCTTCACGAAAGTCCATTGGACATCCTTGGGAATTTTTTTGGGGACCTTCTACGTACCATCAACTCAGGTGGATGTCCTAATCAGTTATGCAAGATCTGATCCTAAAGGGACCAAGACAAATTCAAATTCAAGAATAATTCGTACGTCCCTGGGACATCCTATGGACATCCAATTGATATCCCTCAGCTTTGCTGATAGGTTGTCCTATGGATGTCCTAAGGACGTCCTTTGGAGTGCTTGATGAGGAATACTGTGGGAGCTAGGTATTCGATAGTTGTCCCAGGGACGTCCCTTAAGGACGTCCCTAGTTGGTCCTAAAGTGGGACATGTGTGCGTCCCACAGACGTCCAATAGTCGTCCACGGTATCAAATTCGAACGTCCTATGAACGTCCTGAATGTCCCGACAGGACGTCCTAAGAATATATATGGGACATCAGTGTGTTATTAGGGATTTGACTTTCTGTTCAAGATATAGTGTCAGCAGAGGATGGAAATTTGATCAAATTGGCAACTTAACTACAAAAAAAGTATGTAGAGGATCTGGACAAATTTGTTTCTGACGAATGTTATGCATCTGAAAAAAACAGTTTTCTCTCCTAGAGACTAAAGCAGAAACTCCTATCGAGTCCAAGTTATACACGAGAATAATGTACTATAATATCTTCTTTTCCCAATATGAATTGGGAATTTTTGAGCTAACAATTTTGTCTCAACTCAAACAAGATCTACTAAGTGAATGAAACTAATGTATAGATCGAGCTTGTGAACAGTATTATACATAAAGGCTTGCATTGAAGCAAGAAAATACATTTTTGTATTTTTACTTCATGTTCCTAGTTACGCACTTGCCTATTATCATTTGATTTTCCTTTTTATTTCAACATATATACCTATTTATTTTCCTTGTTATCCATTATGTGAACACTTAAGAATTATGTTTTTAAATTCATTCCACAACATCCTGTTTGTTATATTATATTTTCCATTTTGTTCTTCAAACTTCTATAAAAAAAACTGGTGGGCGTAGAACTTTCTATGGTATAGATATACACTGCTCACATGATTATGCCGGTCTTATGGTACGTGGCACCCGGGACACGAGTTTGCCGTTTAACTTCCATCCCAGAAAATGTCCAACGTGCCTATAGAATTTATTATCAATTCAAAAATGTGTCACGGGATAAAATCCAAAGACCTGAAAGATAAGGAATATTTTTGAGTCTGAAGGACGGCGCGTCCGTCATAGCACCAGGCGGCAAATCACCTTAAACCGGCACTGCATTCAGCACAATGTTACCAAGTCTCCAACATCCACAAGATATTGTGTTATGGAGAATAAGAAATATTTGGACATGCTGGTTGCTGAAAAAAGTCAATAATGAACTGAAGGGCTTATTGTGAAACAATGACATGCCTCAGAAAGGTGAAAGAGAGATATTTGACTTCGAATGTTTGGAATAATATATAAAATCTAGTAACAACTTGGATGGTTTCAGTTTTATATAGGTCAATAATCAGTGCTTCATGCCCTATGCGACTATAGTTAGCAAGAATATCAATAAAATCACTTCAAACTTGAGAAAAAATAGGCTTTATTTGAATAAAATGTGGCTTGTTACATTATCCCATTCAGAATGATTACCCAAAATCTTACACATTGTTGCCCTAAATTTCGTCAAAATTTTCTATACGATGCCAAATAACACTATTTATTTCTGAGTCTCCATCGACCTGCTGAAATTTTTCCGGATGTGTTTATTTTTTTCTCTTTTTTTACATGCATGAAATATATAATAATACTTTTCCGTCGACCTCATATTAACGACTAAGTTTAATGTATATGAAATCGTTCATTAATGACCCCTATTAATGAACGATTTGTTTATTAATGTACGATTGTTTTATAGGCAACCAAACATACACCGCGTGCATTCATTGTTTATGCTATAACTTACGGAATCTGCATTTAAATCGAAAATATGGATTTCATTGAAGATTTTCTGTTAACGGGTTCACCTTTCCAAGTTTCTGACACGATTCTAATCCCTGTTTTCTAACACAAGGAATCTATTTTCTATGTTGATCATTTCGACAAATGTCAAATGACACTAATGTCAGTGACAAGGCTACTGGGTGATTCTTAGCAGTTTCCAGATGAATGATGAATTCGCGAACCAAGTTTTCTTCATTGCAGGAGAAATGAGAAATATAGTCGACGGAAAAATTTTGTAACCAACTTGTATATTAAAAGGCGAATAATGATCTCGAACATTAACGCGCTCGCTTCGCTCGCACGTTAAAATATCTCGATCATTAATCGCCCTCATTAATAAACTAGTTGGTTAAATAACTATTATTATGCTTCATTTCAGAAAATAATGTGACAAGCCACATTTGGGAAGAGATACATACTGCTGTATTATCATCACTTGAGTGACTTCTAGATTGTTCGAAGTTATAGTGTCATGGTCACTGTCATTGAATGTCGACTCAACGTCACTGTTTTTTTTTTTTTGCTAGAAGCTAGAATCGTCAGAATTCACAGCATTATCGGAACAGCTTCCGCTCGTGTCGGCCATTTGGTGTGGCTTGTCATCATGTCGGGTGGTACCTAACTAGAGAGAAGAAATATACCCATGCAATATACAGTGTGTCCCACTTACCATGCTCACCATGAGTATCTTTTTAACGGTGAGAGATACGAGGTCGGTTAAATGACACCAAATGTGGAGTTTGTCAAGGCCAACTTTAATGTGAAAAAATATTTTGATAAAATCTATTCGTTTTTGTTTTATACGCAAAAAACAGATTTTGATCATTTTCATGTCTCCTCCGTAACTTCTTTATTTACGAAAATATTCAAATAGGAATTTCACATTCTCATGGCAGTTTTTCAAAATGATTTCGAAAAAAATATGAAATTCATACCAACTCTTCTAGAATTCGAGATATCAGCACCAACTTTAGTTTTTCAAATGTAGGTCATAGCTCACTATGACTTATAGTTATAAATAACTCTTTTTTCTCTTACAGATGATATGTCGCAGTAATAGTTTTGTGTTGATAACAAGGGAGTTATCGTCATTTATACAAAAACAAAAAATTATTTGGAAGCCGCCATCTTGAATCTATAAATTTCAACAAAAAAATCATGATCTCCGACCTCAAAAACCCCCACACACCAATTTTGAATGGAATCGGACCAAATCTTCTCCGCCATCTTGAAGCAGCATTTTTTTTTTATTTCAGCGAAAATTCCATAACTTCGATTAACTTGAAATTTGGCAGGTGTTCATGATTTCGGTGACAATACATTATGAAAATTTTGTTGAAATTAAAAAAAAAAATGGCTGCTCCAAGATGGCGGACAAGATTTGGTCCGATTACATTCAAAATTGGTAAGTGGGGGTTTTTGAGGTCGGAGATCATGATTTCTTTGTTAAAATTCATGAATTCAAGATGGCGGCATCCAAATCATTTTTTGTTTATGTATAAATGACGATAACTCCAATGTTATCAACACAAAACTTTTACTGCGACATATCATCTGTAAGAGAAAAAAAAAGTTATTTGTAACCAAGTCATAGTTAGCTATGACCTACATTTGAAAAACTAAAGTTGGTGCTGATATCTCAAATATTAGAAGAGTTGGTATAAATTTCATATTTTTTTCGAAATCATTTTGAAGAACTGCCATGAGAATGTGAAATTCCTATTTGAATATTTCCATAAATAGAGAAGTTACGGAGGAGACATATGAAAATGATCAAAATCTGTTTTTTGCGTATAAAACAAAAACGAATAGATTTTATCGAAATATTTTTTCACATTATAGTTGGCCTTGACAAACTCCACATTTGGTGTCATTTAACCGACCTCGTATCTCTCACCGTTAAAAAGATACCCATGGTGAGCATGGTAAGTGGGACACACTGTATAGTTGTTTCACGCCATTCATTAACGATGAAGGCCCGTAATAATTTTGTTGAGGTTTGTTATACTATTGCTCCAACTGAGAAGAGGACTCTCGTGTGGCTTGTCCTTGTTTCACAAGAAGCCCTTCCACTATATAATGTCATGAGTTCCTCCTATTAAGTTTTATTCAACGACAGGACTCAAACATCTTTTTGATAACATGATTATAATTGGTGACTTAACAATCTTGCTTCATGAGTGGTAATGAAAGATTATCTGACCAATAACGAAACAGCATAAAAACTGATGCATCACCGTTTATTCGACGTATCACGTATCGCCAAATGGTGGCCATGACGTTTCGTTTGAAATGAGCTCTGAAATTCAACGAAGTTGAACAACGCATATACCATATACTCAAAATTGTTGTAGGTTCCTGACGACACAGTGGAGTAAATAAATGCCAATATTTCATTATCAGTCCACTCGTCTATTATGGGGACAAAATCTCATTCACTTTCAAATATAAAATTCGTTGAGAACAGGTTATTGATGTGCATCTGAACGATATAGTTTTCCACCATGAAAACGTGTTCAAGAATATATGTTTTGAATTAATCTTTTTCTCTCCTAACTAGCTTTGAAATTATATAAACCTACAATCTAGAATCATCGATAATATAAGGAATTATTCATATCATAAATGTCACTGCATGTTCCTTTTCCTGATGTATTTTTGGAAGGACTGTGATGAATTCTAGGAATAACCAAGAGTTTGGATAATCAGTTTCTGTAACTTATATTTCAGATAATCTAGTGGAATTGAAACAAAAGAAGCAAGACCAGGAAAAAACAGATACTCTGAAGTTTTATCGAGAACAAGTAAGTTAAGAGATTTTCACGACGAGAGAAAATTGGTTCAATATTTTTCAAGTTTTTGAAGATACCTCCTTGGGGAAAACCAGGACCTGGTGGAAAACCCTGGAGAAAACCTAATGCAATAGGCTTCAATTTTTTGAAATCATTGGTACGCTACACTTGTAGTGTATTGGGTGAATAACACTGAATATACTGAACCAGTTGAGAGTCTGTCTAATTAGTGAGATGAGTATATGGAATGTAGCATAAAAATTGAGTAGGCGAGACTAAAGTTCCACGTCTATGAGGCGATAGCCTAGTGCTAGTCATCAATGAATTATTGCCCGTTTCAGCGATAAATGTGTCAATATTTTCACCACATACCAGGATATCGAACATTAATTCGTTATTTTTTTTTCATAACACGAAATCTTATGTTTCTAATGGAATCGGTTTCATAACTTCTCAGGTTTCTACCAACGTCAGTCATTTAACAAAGCTAACTCATAATTTTTCAATAGAAATGCTTCCACATTTCTTTCCTTCGGAAGAAAACCTCTTTACTTTTCTTCATTTAGATCGTGGCTTGTTCAGTATTTGGTAGTGGCATATGCGCTGCGACCCAATTAGATCTATTGTGCCCCATCTGCTCCTGCTATATCAAGGATTTCTTGTTCATAGCAGCCACTCGAGATTCAATTCCTTCAGAAATTTGAGGATTTTGAGGGGGTCTAGCTGTGGTATTTCTTCCACACTTGTTCAGTAACGGGTCATCTGGAAATTCCATTTTTCGTATCGACATCCACAACTCTATTTCATCCGTCTGATATTGAATAAACTTTTCGAATTTCAATAAATTCATACTTTCTTCTTGAACAATTCTCTACGATAACGAAAATAATATCGTTAAAACATATTGGTTTTTCATCATCACTTCATTCGCTTCCTTAAGTCAGGCTAGGAAAATACTTCCTAATCAACTTTTTTCAATATTCGTCGAATCATTGATTTGTTGCAGTTTCCTGAATTGACACCTCAGATTGGAGTATTTTTTTTTTACTATAACTGTAGTCTGTATTCGACCAACACATGATGAAATGATTGGGCGTTAGTGCAAATCATTTGGATCAGTTGAAACTTCAATGATGGGTCGTGCATTGATTCTACTTCAGCAAATAGAGAGAGTAATAGTTCATCTTTTAGAGTCCTTTTTTACGGAATCGTGTAGAAAGAGTTCTCCACAGAGCAAATCATACGCTCCCGAACTCATCTCCCCCATATGACTTGTAACTGGCGAGAATATTTCCATTCAATTCTTCTTAGGTTCATCGCTTCATTTATTTCATGTGGATTATGTTCTTCGATAGCTTCTTTGAGTTGATTTGATGCTCGTCATGGATTTGTCCCATTATCAGTTGTGATCATCTTTGGAGGCCCTCGTCTGGCAATCAGTCGGCGTGAGGCCATCATCTTAAAATCTGTGGTTAGAAATTGCGTCACTGCTTCTAATTGAATAGCTCGTACCGAAAGACCTATAGAAATAACTCCCAATCGCTTTTCACTCCTCCTCCTGGCCTTCACCATCAGGGGCCCAAAATATTCCATTCCCACAAAAGCGAATGAATCACTATTAGGTGTACGATTTTCTTTACCTGGCCTCGTTCACAAACTCACTCACTTCTCTGGAACACCGTAGAAAAGTTGGCGATCAGGCTCTATTTTATAGATATTTTCATGGACGATGCTCTTCTGAAATATCAACAATTGTACCTCCCTTGGCAGTCCCCGCGAGATTAAACCGTCGAGTTGAGGCTTCGCACACCTTCGTGGTCACTTTGGGGACCTGCAGAACATCTCTTTCCAAAGACTCGTTCATCCAGCGAACAGCGAGGCTCTGGAATTCATTGCCAAGGGAGCTGTTCCCCAAGGCAGATAACCTCCAGAAAATCGAGGAGAACACCAATTCCTACCTTATTTCCCTTGGTTCTCACGATGTTCTCTGAACATTAGAGAATATATTCGTGGAAACCAGAACATAAAAAAAAATCAGCAAGAAGATATTCAATGACAGATCATCCATCAATCACCCGGTATTTTTCTTCTAGAAAACTTTGGTATTGGCATTATCCGATCAGTCTCTTTTCAGCTCCTCCTAGTTCTTCAACACTGACGTATATTGCTGGAGAGGGATCTTGACTGTTATCAATTCTGATCATCATTATTTTCATCCATATCTTATGAAATGATATTTAGATTTCAACACAAATAGATTTTTCTCTGGAAATGTTCTTGAAGTCGTTGAATTCTGGGTTGGCAAGGTACATTCTCCAAGACAGTGAAGAAAATCAGGTCCTCGAAACTAGTTTTGAAGTTTGTTCAATTTCGCCCATCTCGAAGTATGTTCTGGTGACAATATCTGCTGCATTGGATTTTGATGGTATACAATTCCAATTACCAATGTCTGTTAACTCTTGATTTCATCCAACGCGATGAGATTCGGATTAAACAAGTCGATTTCCTCATCCTTTCATCCAGTATAGAACAGTGGTTGAGTCAGACCAGAAATATTGGTTAATGTCAAATTCCAATTTCTCTTTGGAAAATGTCCCTATTACCAGAGCCTGTTGTTCGAGAGGCGGAATCGAAATGGTTTTTGTAGGTGCTACTTCATCCTCCGCTAATATCAAACAAAACGAAAGTTGTTATGAGTGATACTTCTCGAATAAGCAACTGAAGCGAAGACTTTCTTGCTGCTTGCACAAAAAATGTGTAGCTTTGGGGACTCCTGCATCTGGAAGATCTTTGACATATACCTCCTAGGTACAGAAGAGTTGTCCATTTTTTGTAGGTTCTACTTCAATGATTTCCAAGCCTTATATATGTATTCATCAATGCAGTCATCCCACCCTATGCCTGATTTCCGAAGGTTTTGTATGCTTATACGTCCTCGGATGATGGAGTCGACTAGCGGACCAAACGAACACTTGTTAAATTTGTGTTCTAGTAGGCATTTTTGAAGGCTCATCAAAATCATTTTCAGTTCGAGAATGAATGATTCCATGAAAGTTCAAGATGAGATTGATAGTTTTTCCGTCCAAATTCTCCAATTTTTTTAATGTTTTCCTTCATTGATTATCTCGATGACCTTTTCCACTGTATTGGCACAATCTAGTCGATTACATAGTGATTCTTTGTTAAAGCGTCTGATATATTAGTTGATGAATCATCGCTGAGCATTTAGATTCCTGAAAAATTGTGTGCATGGTGGTGAGCAGGTTTCAGGTTTGTTCGAGTTCTCAACGCCAAAATGAGGTGAAGGCTAGCACCTATAGCCTTCTACATTATTCACTTCTCCTCAAGCCCTTTCACGTGCTATACCTAGTCCACATTTTACTTGAAATTGTCACAATTTTTTTGTCTGAAATAGTCGTCCTTCTCCGTTTGTCTTTCAATACACTGCCATCATCTCTGTATGCTGTGAATTTCTTTGGTATGAGCGATATATCATCTGTTTTCTGCTGTCTTCTCCATGATCTTTGCTGCTCTGGTTTCTGATTTATTTAAATTAGCCGTTTATACTGATACTTCAAAGGTATCTGTGATGAAGGAGGATTCCACCATTTCATGTAGCATCTTGTCCAATTCTTCTCGGTTACATACATGAAAACTGGAAGAACTTCTCCGCGAATCGTCATTACCATCTAAGGCACATTCTCGTGACTATGGAAACCATTTGAATTTTCTTCACAATGGTCAAACGAATATTATCTCGGCCGATCAATATCATTGTACGAAAATCACATACACATTATGGGAAACACGCTGAGGTATACTTTGAATAAGCTGAATAGTGTACCAATGGTAAAATATTGTAGTTATTCTTCTGGAATGATCTTAGTACTCCTCAACAGGTGACAGACTATTGACTGATTCAATATAACTAGTGGTATGTTCTTCACACTCTGTATTTGATATTTTGAGAGTGTAGACACATGCTTTTTTTAGAACTGATCAGGAAATTGTTATAAAGTAATGGATGATTTGATAATCATCCAGAGAATAAAGCTTAAGCATGCATTTGAAATCTGTTCACAATAATCCATTATTTGCGAATGGACTCAGAAATTGTTTTGAAATGATTTCGTATGCATGATAAATAGGTTGAGGAATTTTTCTGTTCTAATAGGAGTATATGTGGAGAAACCTAATACCACAAATATACATGTTCCTTTCCACTGGAACAAAGCGTTTCTGACTTCAAACGGCCCATCCTCTATATCTCAGCTATTTTTTACCAAATTTGGACCGGTATGACTATCAATAGTATCAATTTTTCAGACATGGATATTATTCCAATCAATATTGTGGATTGGAAAAGTATACATTTTTGTATAAAATCATATTAGGACATTTTATTTCATTCATTTTCCTTTGAACGACAAAAGTACATTTTGTATAGGAATAGTCAGTTGAGAAGGATACATAACAAAGTAATGAGTCATATGAAAACAGTGAAATGAAAGCTATCCAGTATGCTGGACAGTTCTGATTGAATGAAATTCATCAATGGGGTAGAAACAATGTTCTAACAGAAACGATTTCAAACCATATTTGAATTGTCCAATATCACAAGATGTTTTGATATCATGTGGTAGATGACTAAAAATTCTGGGGCCTATATTATTCGGAGAATTTTGTGTTATTTTTCTCACCGAAGAACTGACCTCTTGGTATAGTTTTCAATCCCTGTATATGAATTTTCATATGATATTCTTAGAGGGTTCAAATAATTATTCATTCGGGGACGATGAGTTGAATAAAAACGAGTATATCTTATTTTTTTTCGAACCATGCTCCTCTACCTACCGAAACTATTTATTGAACGTGCCTAAATTTGCATTCAATTTGAATTCACCATTTTTTCTAGGCAGTAAATTGAGAAAATTAAGCTAATCTTGTTAATTCGGAATGAGCTGATTTTTTTGCATATGGGATTTTCAAAGCATAAGGAACAATGATATGAAATTAGTTCTTGAGCAAAAACATTCCCTATATGATTTAATGAAAAATCGATCCATTTTTATTTCTATAAAAGAGCACGGCACTGTCCAGAATGATGTAAGACAGATTATAATGATGTTTGTCTCTGAAAGACAGATTATATTGATGTTTATTCATACCGGTCCAAATTTGGTATAAAATGTTAGACTGATAGCTGGGATATAGAGAGGAAGCCGTGTTGAGTGGTACCATAGATCTGGTTTAACTACGGCTTAGTTGCATAGTTTGTTGAAATAGCTTTAGACCCAATTAACAATAAAAGAAAGGACCCCGCACGAAAACACGTGAAATTGGCTCTCAGTCGAATTGGCTGAAATTTCACTATATTGTTGTGAGATGGCTCATTAGGAAGATATGTGAGTTTGAAAAGTTTTGTATGTTTAGTTTCTGAGATATCAGCCGACAAAGTTCGTAAAAACGTCGTATCGGGGTAGGATTGACAAAGAAAAAAACTGTTTTTTTAGTATACCTAAATGAAACAAAATGAGCTAGAAAATGTATTGATCGAAACTCATAAACATGTCTAGTTATAATCACATGAATTATAGTAAATCAGGGTGCATACGAGGCACGGTCAAAAAATTCATTTTTCGGAAAAAAAAATTCGAGTACTATTCCAAAACCAACAAGTTATATTTTGGTGGGATATTACAGTTTCAGTCTATTGTAGACTTCGGAAACGTTTTTCGATTCTTGATAACTATATCTCTGTTCGAAATATGAATTTTCAGAATTTTGTGTTATACCCCTTTTTGAAAACAATAGAAAGCTTGTTTATGACCACAAAGGAAGGGATTGATTGATACTGATTACTGTTGATTCAACTTTTTATGTTTCGTTTCTGAGATATGCATTTTTGAGTTTACAGTATTACAGGTATTAAAGGGTTATTACCTCGGATATTACTATCAAAAATTAATATCTCAGAAACGAAACATAAAAAATTGAAAAACTTTTTGCATATGATAGTCAACATATTCAAAATAGTGTGTGTAAAATGAGATCCAAATTAACGGAACATTTTTTTTTAGATTTTCTATTGAAACATGTCAAATAATCTTCAACAAAATCTAACACACCCTGTAACTAAATGGAAGGCGATATTGAACAACTGAATTTGCTAGTGAGTTTCCTCAGCTTTCATTTAATCAACAGTATCAATCAATCCCTTTCTTTGTGATCAAAAATAAGCTTTCATTTGTTTTCAAAAAGAGGTATAACACAAAATTCAAAGAATTCATATAGAGATAGTTATCAATATAGTTATCAAGAATCAAAATACGTTTTCGAAGCCTACAATAGACTGAAACTATAATGTCTCACCAGAATATAACTTGTTGGTTTTTGAATAGTACTCGATTTTTTTTTTCCGAAAAATGAATTTTTTGACCGTGCCTCGTATACACCCTGATTTACTATAATTCATGTGATCAAAACTAGACATGTATTTGAGTTCCAATCAATACATTTTCTAGCTTATTTTGTCTTATTTATACTAAAAAACAGTTTTTTTCTTCGTCAATCCTACCCCGATACGACGTTTTTACGAACTTTGTCGGCTTATATCTCAGAAACTAAACATACAAAACTTCTCAAACTCACATATTTTTCTAATGAGCCATCCCACAATATCATAGTTAAATTTCAGCCAATTCGACCGAGAGCCAATTTACCGTGTTTTCGTGCCGGGTCCTTTGGCGACTTCGCCAGTATCTCTAAATCTGACTTTTGGCGAAAGCGCTGATAAACTCTTCTTACACCAACTTCCAATGTTTCATAGTAAGCATGTTCAGAACCACGCTCAAGTGGATTTGTTTTCAGAACTAATTCACGCGAAATGTATCATGAAGATTATAATTATGTGATTTCAACCATTGTACAGGATGATTGAATATGGATTTCACGCTTTCAACACTCAATGTCTCAAAAACTAATTAATATATTGGACACTTCAGAACAGAATCTTGAATGTGATATTTTTCTCATTAGAATGATGCCCTTCAAACATTATAATCCATTTCATATACGAGAGGTGTGAAAATGTTTAATTCTTCTCAATTCAAATTTATATCATTTTAATACATTCTATGGAGTAATACTGGGTGGATCGATGGAATATAACTTGAGATTATTTGCAATTTATGTCATGAAACATCTAATTCAACTCAAGTTGAGCTGAAACCAGAAGATTATCGAAATTATCGATTGCCAGATGACTTGACAGCCAACTCGAATTCAATTAGATGATTTCATGACAAAAATTTCAATTGATATCAAGTTATATTCCTTCGATTCACCCTACTCCATGAAATGTATGAACATTATATATTTTGAAAATCACCCTGCTGAAATATGCAATGATATATAAGGTGTTTTATTAAAAAAAAACATTTGAAATGAAGATATAATGTCTGGAGGGCATCACTTGGAAAAGACAACATCAGATTCAAGATTCTGTACTGGACTCACCAATAGCTCAATTAGTTTTCGAGATATTTCATACATATATACAGGGTGTCTCAGGTTTCACTCGTCTTACTTTGACAATCGATGGCAACAATAAGAATATTACATACGAATTCCTTGTTTCATCGTGCGGGAACTTGTTTGCATTATACGGGGTGTTATAGTTCGCTTAAATATTTGGTTCTTTATTTTTTATCTCACTTGAAACAGAACCTGGCGATTTGAAATTTGGTAAGCACTTCTCTAGCGGCAATATGAACAGTCCTTATCAATGGTGATATGCGTTTTTTTTTATTATTGCCCAACAAACATTTTAGGTATAATACACGTCATTTCGACGATTGGCCTCTGAGTTCGTCTGGAAGAACATTGAAAAATTTCATGACGAGATATTTGAACGAGGATTTGGTTTTTGAAATTCTTGGTTTTGGTAATCTCATATTCATTTTTCCTCTTGTATTATATTTATGTATATCTTCATTTCTAGTTATTCCAGACCGAGTATTAGACATTTCTTTCTTCATGTGAATGAGACATTCGTATACGAAGCATGAGGCTAGTGTTGAGATTTTGAATCGTTTGAATGATGGTTTGCAATGTTCTGTATAACTTACTCCTGCCATTATCCTTTTTTTGGTAGTTTTTTGTAGAATGAGTTGATGCACCCCACACTATCAAGGCATATGTCATTACTGAATGAAATATTGAGAAATAAGACACCCTGAGTCAGTTTAAACTTCAGCTGCCTCAATATATATGTTGATGTTGCTAGACGCTTACATAATTGATCAATGTGAGACAAAAAATTCAGACCTGCGTCTAGATGTACCCCAAGCAATTTCACTACGTTTCCGTCTGACCCATTGTTCAACTTAAAATTCAAAACTTGAGTCTTTTCATTATTGAGAGTAAGATAATAACTCTCATTCCAGCTTTGAATCACTTGTATAAATTCGAAATGTTAAAATAATAGTATAACTTGTGAATATGGATGATGAGAGTTAGTTCAACTCATCCCATTATGTTGCAATAAGAGACAAGATGAAAGACACTTAATTTTTCAAGCCATTCCCTTCAGATTTAGGAGTTTTTCCACATCAATGCAGCCATGAAGTATTTCATGATACTTCTGCTTTGATCTATTTTTCAACCGAACCTTCTCGATAGTTTGGCTTGATCTTATTCAATATTTTTGCCTTATACTGGTTTCATACTCTTCGAATCTCCAACTTCCTCGTAACTTTCAAATATTTCACCTTTATGAAGTTCCATAATTCCATTATTTCATACCTCAATAGCATATACAGATAATCGGTCATGAAACCTGTGGCATAACATATTATATTCGACTTATTATAAATAGAGATAGATGGAATAAATAAAACTGGCGTAGAATGATCCCTAATAACTGATAAACAGCAACGCTTTAACCCCTTCTAAGCACAAAAATTACCGTGGATGAAACAAAAGCATGGTTCTCCACGCGAAATTAGCGTGGATTGATCACAAGGAAATAATCCATGCAAAATTAGCGTGGATTAATCTCCAAGGAATTCTTCACGTGAAATTACCGTGGATCAATCAAGAGGACAAAAATACACGCGGAACGTTGTCGTCACTATACCTCAATGACGCATTTCGCGTGGAGGAATTCTGAAAACAAAGTCCACGTTAGCGTAGTTCTAGACACGGCCTGCAAAACAATAGTGATTTATTTTCAAGGGATGGTCTACTGACAAAACATTGAAACATCTAGCAAATGATGCAATCAAGAGTAAGCTAGCCGATACGAAGAGATACAACAATTTCAAATCCATGACGGTTGTGCCTCCAAATCGAGTGATGGTAGATCCCGTTGTGCGTAAAAATTTCGTACCAGTGGGAAGAAACAGGAAACTCTCACCTTTATCTGATGACAGGGATGAAGGTGTTGAGTTGGTAGCACTTTTATCCAAAGATCGGAAAAACCCAGCAAAAATTCCGTTATGCAGTTCTGATGTGACGTCAGAGAAGAAGATGGGGTGATGTCCTATTTTAATTAGTCATAGGGTGATTCACATTTTCATGAAAATAGTTCATTGAGTACCTATCGAAAACATCATGGTCGGTTTACTATTCGAAGACAATTTTATAATACTGAGTGCAGAGAGCTCTAATATTGTCTGAGACCATAGTTAACCTTACGTTCGTGATGGTTATTGAAGGACGTGAATAGTATTTTTCGTACGCCATGATAATTCATATAGATACATATTTTTCAATATTATATCTAACCAGATATGAGATAGGTATTTTTCATACGACCTCCAATGAAAGCAGCAATGCGAAAGTGAAGACGATCAGCATGGCAATATTCCCGCACGCTCACGTGATCTTTGTTTGGCCTATACGGGTGTTTCAGACTTAAATGTACATACGATACCTGTTGATAGAGGACACTTCGGTGGTTCCAAATCACCTCCCATCGATATGTCTACCGTCTTTGATAACTGAGATACAGGACGTTATCTTGATATTGGCAAAATCTTCATCTGGTTATAACTTCTGAACCACTTTGTATAATCCATCCATACTTGGTAGAAATATTTCACTTATATTACCCATCAAAACCAGATGGAAGTCCGGATTAAAATCCAGGTCCGTCTTGAGGAAAAACAAAAAACTTCTTTTATCTCAAAAACAACACTCTGTATGGCAAAATTTTATTGATCGGTTTTGATATTTGGAAAAAGCGGAAAAAAATTAATGAAGCGACCTACTTTTTACGAATGCGCATCCAATTTGAAAGATGGTTTATTATCATGTTTTGAAATATTCAGCTCCATTTCGAGCCATTTTTATTGAACTCATAATTCAAAACCCAATTTTTATACAGAAAAATAACAGTCTCCAAATTTCAACATCATTAGAGTCAAATTAGGTGAACTATCGATAAATTTGTTTGTTTGACAGAATAGAGAGAGAGAACATCTTTATTAGGGATATACCCCAAAAGGCCATTGACCGAAGTCTTTCAGCCCAATTGACAGAATAATTTGTCGATGATTTTAAAAACTTTCGAGGACTAATTTTATACTTTACTATTTATTCATAAGCTGCGGTAAAGTAGGCTGTGAAGAAAAAATGAAAATTCGGACAGTTCATAATCACTATAGTTGCGATATTATTGGTAAAGTTATTGTAGGCACAATTATGAACACTTTGAAATGTAACAACCCAATACAAGCACCAGAAATAATTATCTCAACATCACCAATAATATCACACTAGTGATTATGACCTGATTATGACATAAAATGAGCCCTCAAAAATGTATGATACCATAGACAAGTGATTCTGTCACAACAAATCTATCCATAGTTCACCTAATTTGACTCTAATGATGTTGAACTCTGAAGACTGTTATTTTTTTGTATTAAAATTGAATTTTGAATTATAAGTTCAATAAAAATGCCTCGAAATGGAGCTGAATATTTCGAAACTTGATAATAAACCATCTGTCAAATTAGATTCGCACTCGTAAAGAGTAGGTCACTTATTTCATTTTTTCCCGCTCTTTCCAAATATCAAAACAGACCTACAAAATTTTGCCATACAAGGTGTTGTTTTTGAGATGAAAAAAGTTTTCTGTTTTCACTCAAGACGGACCTGGATTCTGATCCGGATTATTATATGGTTTTGATGGGTAATATAAGTGGAATATTTCTACCAAGTATGTATAAATTATACAAAGTGGTTCAAAAGTTATAACCAGATGAAGATTTTGCCAAAATCAAGATAACGTCCTGTATCTCAGTCATAAAAGACGGTAGACATATCGTGAGTGGTGATTTGGAACCACCGAAGTGTCCTCTATCTATAGGTATCGTATGTACATTTAAATCTGAAACACCCTGTATAGTGTATGGATGATTGAAATACTGAATTATCATCATTATTACTTCACTATCATTCAATATTTGTCCCATGAGAACTGATAATTGTTAAGGTTTAGGTATTTCTCATTTTGTCATCTGCGGGAATAACCCACCGACTTATTGACGACAGCCAAAAGGTGAGCCAATCAGGAGATCAAACTGGTGAAACTGAGTCATGCGCATTCAGCAACTATCATGGTACACTTATGAATCCGAAAAACAGGCGTATCGAAGGAGAAAGGTTTCGAAGGGTCTACTATGGAATGTTGATAAACCATACATAAAGTAGTGAGTAACGAATGGAATATGCCGTATTCAGGTCTCATACCTTCCAAATACTGAGATTTGAGAACTCAATTTAGATAACGGCATATTTGCATGTGGTTTCTATGTCCTGAATTTGTCTGGAAGCATCATAAAGCTGCTGTCTGGCGTAAACTGGTCCGAACATAATTATCCTTCCTGAGTGGCTAAGGTCCAATAATGGTCTCCTAATAGCCTCAAACCATTTATTTATCTTATTCTCTGGAATACTAGAATCATTATTGAATGAGTGAACTGTTAATCCGAAATCGTCAAAAATAGATGAGCAGGTATGGCACCTCACGTCTGAACTCAAATTCTTCACAGCTGAATGAATATACAAAACATGCATGACTCCTTTTGATTCAAATATCAATTGATGAAAACAAATAATATTGAAATCAAGTATTATTCATTACCCACAAACTCACTGATGAAAAGAAACATCTTTAGTATTATCAATCGTGGAATTATTACATCAAAGAACAAAGCACTTTATATTTCGTAGCATTGGTGGGAAATAAAAAGGAAGAACAACGGATATCACCACTCAATTTTGGAATTAAATTTACTAAGCCGACCCCTGATGACATAAACAAAACACTCAAGCCGACGGCATCCACCTTGTCCTGCCTATGAACAAAAAAGATGCTAGGTTGACTTCGATACCACGGCAAAGTCATGAACGACAGCTTGGGGGTTCTTGCGTATCGAGCAGAAGCATTTTCAGGCGAGCAACTGACCCAATACTTTCGGGTTTCTGCGAGATGACTTTTAGCAGTCCAGATAGAGCAATAAGTCAGTGGAATAACCCTGTGGAATAACCTCATTGCTGTCATTGCTGTCTGCGCTGAGTTCGTATGGGGACTCCCACCGAGACATAGGCTCGAATCCTAGTTAGGCCATGGATGTTTGTGTTTGTATACATTCGAGCAACCGAATGACAGATAGAACAAATTTTAGAACAAATTTTAGAAGTTACCTAAACCCGCACGAGTTTCGACTTATGTTGCGTTTGGTCCCAGTGCTGGGATCAACGAGGTAATGTAATTGCAAGAAAAAATAATAATAAGGAAAACTCATTTCAATATAGATAAAAGACATATAACAATAAGTTATATGGAAAACAATTGAATGTTTGAAATTAGTATATATTTTTGTTTTGAATGATGTATATATGGTCGTAGGAAATGAAGTGTACATAACTCGTTGGAGAGTGTATTTCATGCATTCATAACATTCTCGCACTCGCCGCTATGCGGCCTCACGCACTAGTGCGATATATCAAGTCCCACACTAGTTATGTGATATACTATTTCCTACGGATATAACACAAAACTGTTCTCGATGATATAATTAGAAATGTTGTTTGTCTTCAACATCATCTTCTTATTCATTATTCCAAATTTTTTGGGATTTTCTCTCCTCGTTTCTATAAAATAAAAATATGAATATTATTTCAATATACGTGTAGTAAGGACAAATCAGATGATTTGCCCCAAAATGTCACAGCGTTTAAAGAATTTTCCTATCAGAGAGCCTGAAAGAAAAATTCACTAGCTTGTCAGTGATAATTTGTATTGAAACATTTTTGGAGAAGAGAAATAAAGGTATATAGAAGAAAATATCAAATTTTCACCTATCTATTTGGACGTTTCGGGACCGATTCTGCTCCCGTTTTCAACATGAAGAGATTTTTTCAATCGCGAAGTCGTATAATATGTCTTGAAGCTTTTCAGTTTTCAATGACACTTGGTGACGTTGGCAATCAAAGGAGTTACAGGATGTTTTCATTAATTAATCTTGAATTTACCATTTTCATGTTCAGATTTTAGTAGTGAATACCATGTTCTGTCTATATCAACTGAACAAGAAGCAATGCTATTGTCTACGTTCAGAAGAATGCAAGCAGATTCCTTGATTTTTCTCTTCTGGTTGTTATCTTCTTTTCCAATGATTTTAATATTATTCCACTCTGCCATATGTTGTCCGTCTTCAGTAAGGATATGTTCAGCTAGTTTCGATTTATCGATGTTTTTTTTCTTTATATTGTACTTATGTTTCTTCGTCCTTACTGAAAGAGGTCTCTTGGTTTCACCTGTATAAAACTTTCCACAAACACAAGGTATACTGTAAATACATTTTTTTGACGATTGTTCTTCATTTTTCGGCTTTGTTTGAGTTAGAATTGATCTCATTGTATTTTCAGTTTTGAACACAGTTTTCACTTGAAATTTATCACCAACACGTTTTATTTTTTCAGATATGCCGGGAATGTATGGTATTATATTTGTCGTTATTGATGGTTGATTTTGTTGTGGTTGACCCTGTTTGATTTCAATTTGATGAATCGTCCTATCGACAAAATTCTTTGGCTTCGTTATTGAAAATTTGTTGGTCAGATGATATTGATTTGGCTCTATCATGGAGTGATTTGATTATTCCTTTCTTAATACTGTTCTGATGATTTGATTGAAAGTTCAAGTATCTGTTAGTATGGGTCTTTTTACGATATACACTCGTTACAAAGATGTTATTTGATTTTTCAATAGGAACATCTAGAAACGGTAATTGATTATTAGATTCAATTTCCAAAGTGAACTTCATTGTAGGTTCGGCATTGTTCACATAATCCAGAAAATTATCTAGCTCCATAACGTTATGAGGCCATATTATGAAAATATCATCTACGTATCGCCACCATGTTTTAGGTTGTTTTTGGTAATTTTTGATGATGTTGTCTTCAAAATTCTCCATAAATATATTGCTTAAAATTGGAGATAATGGCGATCCCATGGCCA